GGCGAGTTTGAGCTCGGGGAGCCCAGCTCTCCGGCTCCTGCGTTGACTCCGGCCATCCCTGAGCCGCGTTTTCGCGACATCTCCACTTCTGTTGTGGTGTCGTCGCCTCCTCCTTCTCCTGCCCCGTCCTCGCCGGTGACCAGCCACCCGGAACCTGTCGCGCCCGCGCCTGTGCTCGGCCTTGCCGTTCCTGTCGCGGTCCTCGGCGGGGGCTCGGAGGCGGGCAGTGTTCCCACTTCCGTCTCGGGTTCGTCGGCCGTCTCGGAGTCGTCCAGGTCTTCTGGGCGCTCCCTTGCGGCGGAGTCCCTCCGCCAGGACTCAGGGGAGGTGTTTATGCCGGAGGGTGACTACGCGGCGGCCTTGCGGCTTGCGGTGGTCACCATCGAGCCGCCGAGCGCCTTCCACAACGACACGGCGGCGGTCCAAGCTGCTCTTCTCCGCAACATCGGCCACATCCTTCCGTAGATGATCCATCGTCGATCGGGGCCATGTATCTCCGCTTCGCCTCGCCGGCGGATCGCGAAGAAGCCATGCGCCATCAACCCTTCACGCACGAGGGCGCCCACATCGACCTGCATCGTGAGGAGTGGTACGGGCGCATGCATGTGCACGCTGGGACGTGTGCCCTCCTTGCCGCCACCTGCTTCCCCGCCGAGCACCTAAACCCGACGGGCATCTCGGCTGCTTTCGCCTCCTTTGGCAAAGTGCTGGAGATTGACCCTATGGTGCTGGCGGGGAGGGATCTAGCCACCGTTCGCGTGGTGGTGTGCCTCCGAAACCCTAGAGACGTCCCCTGTGATGTCTAGCCAATCGGCTGCAGCTGGGGGGTGAGGGTGATCTCTGTGTGGCCGGTCCGCGCTTGGGAGGCCGGTGACTCCTTCACCAGGGGCGGCGAATACATTCCGTTCTTCCGCGACCCACCGCCACCGTTCGCGCACAACCTCCCAGTCCTCCAAGGGACTCCGGCAGGGCACGGGAGGGGCGCTGGCGTGCAGGCCCCTCTCTTCCGCGGCTGTGGCCGTGGGGGAGGGCGCCACCTCGCCTCTGTGCTGCGTGTCCTGGGTGCTCCCCCCCTCCCTGACGAATAGAGGGGGTCGTCGGCTGGCCCCTGTGCCTGACTAGGGCTCCCGCCGCTTCTGCCGCGGTCCCTTCTCTGGGCGGTTCTTCGCTCCTCACCAGCTCCGGCAGCTCCCGCTCCGGGGTGACCATTGTTGAGCTGGCGGACGACGGGCCTGACAAGGGCGACCTCGGTGTGGCGGGAGACGCCAGGCACAGTGCTCGCCTTGCCAAGAAGGAGAGCGAGGTCTGGATCAACATTGAGAGCAAAGCGGTCCGCCTCAAAGCCTTGAAAGAAGCTATTTCGGGCTGTTCGCCCAGGCTCAAAACCAAGGTGGGCAAGGACAAGCTGCTGGATGCTGTGGTTGCCCCCCTGAGCAAGAAAAAGGTGGCGGGGCTGTGCGCCGCCGCTTCCATCCCATTCGCTGTGGTGCAAGACCACATTGATGATTAGCTCTCCGCTTGGGATCGGCGAGTTGTGGTGGTGCCGTTCTCCCCTGGTTGTCTGCCTTCCTTCAGGTCGGCTTGTATCCTCCGCCCCCTTGTTCCCTTTCGTGCTTGTCTTAGGGTTGTTCCTTCTAGTGTGGAGTGTTGTTATGGGGAGTAATCATGTTAGGAGCGTGCCTGTTTTATCCTGGAACGTCCAAGGTTTGGGCACTAGGGATAAATGTGATGTCTTCAAAAACTTGATTGCTTCCGCAAACCCCTGCTTTGCCTGCCTCCAGGAGTCAAAGCTTGATAGCTTGGACTCCGGTAAGGCGATCTCTTTCTTGCCTGGTCGTCTCTCGAGTTTTATCTCCAAGCTAGCTGATGGTAGCAGAGGTGGGATCGTGACGGCTTGGGACCCGGCACGATACTCCTTGGTTTCTTCCGAGGAGTCAGGTTTCTCTCTGTCTACCATCTTTGTTTGTTCTTCCTCTGATTTGCGCGTTAAAATTACTAATGTGTATGGCCCCTCTGATCACTCTCTTGTGGATGACTTTGTGGACGATATGGTTGCTTTACCGCTTAACGCCGCAGTCGCCTGGCTTGTGGTTGGCGATTTCAGTCTTATCTGCCTCCCTTGTGAGAAAAACAATGGCAACTTCGATGCTAGGTGTGCGTCCAAGTTCAATGCCTTGATTAACTCTCTGGCTCTTCATGAGCTTCACCTCTCTGATCGCCTTTTTACGTGGACGAACAGACAAACCCCCCCTATCCTGGCTCGGCTTGACCGAGCATTTTTCGACAATTTCTGGAA